GGAAATTAGGAAAATGATTTTTAGAAAATAAGTCACTTTAAAAAAATCATTTTCAGTGTTTGATTGTATTCTAAAAAATTATCTTAGTGTGTTTGGTAATTTTTTGAAAAATGTGCAAATTTTATAATTAAACATTTTAATTTTTTTGGTTAGAATATAACAATATTTATTTATAATAATAATAATAATAATAATAATAATTCACACACACATAGATAACAAACGACGTTGTTAATCATATATACATATGTAATATATATATCGTATTCCGGGTTTTTAAATGGGTTGGGTGCGTATTTTCCAAACCATACCCTACCAGAATACCAGATTATAAACAAACCGGCACAGTTAGGAAGCATGGGTCGATTTTTCTAGTCGGATCTAGATATCCACTTCATGTCGATTTTTATAGTCAGGTTCTGCGGGTTTGTCGAGTTGGACGGATTATGCACAACCCTAGATCGATCTGGTCCAAGAAAATGCTAGAAAAGATCTCCATATTTAAAAGCAAACGAAAGACAACTCATCAAGTTAAGTACTTACCAATAATATGCCTTTAAAATTGTCTTGTGTTCTCAAAATTACATAAACTACTTTATATACAATTTATCGATGCGGAGATAATTTCGTTTCTTTGATTAAAAATATTAAGTGTTTTTACATATCTGTAGTTAGTAAATTTCAATAGGGGAGCATTCTGATCTAAACTGTTAAACTCTTTTTTAATCATTGGTTCTTTTTTCTTCTTTGAGCCTTGCGTTGAAGAGAATTCATCTAAAATACATCTTTTCACAATACCACTTTTATTTTTATTGGCCTCCTTAGTAGAACCAGTAATTCCTATAGGACTTTCAGTCTCGTCCTCGAAATAAATTCATGTAATAACGACAAAGAAACATAAAACAGTTAGATTTTGAATAATGCATGTGAATTGAAAACATTCAGAAATCAATTCACATTTCAATTACACCTCATATTCCCCCTCCTCTTCTTTGGATCCCAACTTAGAGATTAGGTCCTTGTCTTGATTGTAAAGCAACTCAGGACAATGAGCATCAACCAATGTACGATCATTGATAATATAATTTTCATAATCGTAAAAGTATTATATAGATTATCAAATTGCTCCTTCCTAACTGGAATATATATTAAAGATCATTGCAAGACTACACAAGGAATCAATCTTCAATTCTTTGGTTGTTTTGGACTTACCTACATAGTAGATAAGTCTAGTCATTCATTTTTGGTAAGGGTATTATTAACCAAAAAAAAAAAAAAAAATTTATTAATAGATGTAAAAATACATACGGGTGTTTTGCCCTTAGTTGAATTGTTGTCATGCCTAACAGTTCATTGCATTCTCTCTGTCCCATAAAAGGAATAGTGCATTACCGTCCTTATCTACAACTCTCACTTTCAATCTAAATCTCAAGACTCCCTCTGCCCAACTCCTTTTACACTTGTAGCAATCATATAGACCATTATTAGGTGTAAATTTCTAGTTACAACCATGACTCTTGCAAGAATCGTAGCACCAACCAGACCCGCTCTCTATGCCAACAATTTTTACAATAATCCGATAATCTTTATACTGAAAATACATAATGATATATGTACAATTAAAAAGTTTCAACCATGGTAGACAATCTTCTTTATATATAAACTACATTTTTTTTTGTTTTTTTCTTTTTTTGAAAATTATAAACTACATTTTTAGTTATATATACATTAATTCAAAAACCTTTATGGCCTGGTAATGATATATGTTTGGAAATCAGCATTTTTATACCTTAGACTTCAGATTTAGATATATATTAAATGATAACCCTAAAACTGCTTCCAGGGGAGGTTGAACTGTTAGGCATTCATTTTTATACCTTTAAACTTCATTACTAACTATTAAATGTTATGCAAATGATGATATTACATGCATGCAATTCATTTTTTACAGAGAATTCTGAAATGTTTCAGAAAAATGTAGACAACTATGTTAATTAAAAAAGAAGATTTAATACATGTATCCTTTCATAAACATTAGTAATGGTACTGATAATCACTGAACCATTGTTGAATTCATCAAATGTGTTTTCACAAAACAAAATTGACATTGAACCAATACTCCGTAAAGGTGTTTGTTCACCACATAAACTTCAAAAAAAAAAAAATGCAATTAAATAGGACATATGCGGTTTAAGATAAACCTTATTAAAGAACATAGTATTTACATTTCTCTAAATTCAATGAACTTAGGAAACTCTTCATTGAAGAGTATCTAGGTAGCATCATAAGAACTTGCGATCTTGATTTCTCCGACTTAATAAAATATATATATAAAAAAAATGACTGCTTAGTATAACAGATTAGTCAAAAGATTAACCATTAATATTTTAAACTTACTGTTTACACAACGCTTGGCTCTACAAAACTGCAAAAGAACTATGACATGACGATGGCAAATGAAAGTACACCGCTATGACGATGGCAAATTATATTATGCGTCAAATAATATACTTTCAATACTCAAATAATATACTTTAAAGGCAAAACTTTTAGTGTATTAAAAATATATATTTAATATAATAAAAGTGTATCTTATGTTAATGATTTATCTTATAATATATGAACCATGTCCATAATATAATGATTGTACTGCGATCATCGTTTTTGCTAGCATTAATAATAGAACGCAAATTATGCTGTGGACTCGTGTCCACAATGCATTGTGGGCACGAGTCCAAAACGACGTCATTTTTTTAAAAAAAAAAGCGGCATTCCAGTTTAAAAAACAAAAAAAATTGATTTTGTGTCGCCGTTAACGGCGTTATTCGTTTGTGGCATTATGAATGTACAGTTATAGAATTATGAATGTACAATTATGGAGTTATGAATGTACAGTTATGGAATTATGAATGTAAGTTATGAAATTATGAACACAGACCTCTGACATTATGAACTTACAATTATGAATATATAGTGATAAAATTATGAACATAGAGCTCTAAAATTGTGAACATAGAGCTTCGAAAATATGAATGTACAGTTATGGAATTATGAATGTACAGTTAGGGAATTATGAATGTACAGTTAGGGAATTATGAATGTACAGTTATAGAATTATGAATGTACAGTTATAGAATTATGAATGTACAGTTATGGAATTATGAACACAGAGCTCTGACATTATGAACTTACAATATGAACATACAGTGATAAAATTATGAACATAGAGCTCTAAAATTGTGAACATAGAGCTTCGAAAATTATGAATTTACAGTTATTGAATTATGAATGTACAGTTACGGAATTATGAATGTACAGTTATGGAAGTATGAATGTACAGTTATGGAATTATGAACACAGAGCTCTGACATTATGAACGTACAATTATGAACATATAGTGATAAAATTATGAACATATACTCTTATAACGAAGCGGTCTGAAATTATTAAAAAGAATAATAATAAAAATAAAAAAATGAAGATAACAGTGCCACTAACAGCACCGTTACCGTATCCACATTGCATGCTGGACACGAGTCCATAGCATAACAATTGATAATAGAATGATAGTTAATATTTAACGGATTACAATTTAAAATTAAGCCCAGGCCCAACACGCATGAGCCAACCTAAGCACGGCCCAAGTATTACAGTATTTGGACTGGTTAGCACCATATATGTACAAGATGAACAATCATTATTTGTGGATCATATTATCAAATCATATATATTTAGTACACAAATAATGTATTCTTAGTATATTAAAAATGTACATTGTATTCAGAAAAAATGCATTATTTTGTATAGTGTATATTCAATACATAAATAATATACTTTTAGTATATTAAAAATGTACTTTTGTTTCTTTAAAAACAAATGTACTTTTGTTATGATCTCCATATCACTTGTGGACCATGGTCCACACAATAATTTACCCTCAATGACACCTTTATGGTTCTTCCAAGTGGAGCGTTATGCTGTGCATCCGTATGCACCATGTATGGTGCATACGGATGCAAAAACGACGTCATTTTGGCGTCTAACTTAAAAAAAAAAAAAAAAAAAAAAAAACTCAGAATTGCATAACTACACATCCATAATTTCATAACTATACTTCCAGAATTGCATAACTACACTTCCAGAATTGCATAACTACACTTCCAAATAACTATAATTTCAGAATTGCATAACTATACATCCATAACTTCATAACTACACATCCAGAATTGCATAACTACACTTCCAGAATTGCATAACTACATTTTCAGAATTTCATAACTAAAAAATCCAAAATGAATAACATAATGTTGTTACTGGGAATCGAAACTGATTTTTATTTTTAAGTACGGCGCGCATTTTATACAAAAACAACGTTGTTTTTGCATCCGTATGCACCATGCAGGGTGCATACGGATGCACAGCATAATTTGCCCTTCCAAGTGGGAGGCCTCAGACTTGAACTTCAGTGGCCACATTAATTATTGTGCAAGTTAAAAGAATATTCTTATATTATACAAATTATCCAAATTATCGATATACATAATTACACCAACATATTTTATATTTATATATTGTTGTATGTTATGCTTGCCATTATGTATTTATGTACACATAGGCATTGTCATGAGCATAACCCCTGTGTATTACAAAGGGTAAAATGAGGTTAGTCTTGTTAGTATTATTATTATATACTATAGTTTGTATTAGTTGAATAAGTCTCCTGTGACTTACCTTTTAGATAGGAGTTATTTCAGCTTCTCACTTCCTAAACTCTTATATGTTTGAACTGAATTGAAATCGTTACTCTCATTTGGTATCAGTTAGCCACCAATCCAATTAACCTCCCGTAATTTTTTGTTCTGGTATTCCGCACCAAACGGCATGCAGATGGGTCAGTTGAGCGCTATAAAGCGTGGCTCGTTGCAAAAGGGTTCAACCAAGTCGCCGGGGAAGACTTCTTTGACACTTTTAGTCCCGTTGGCAAATCCACCACGGTGCGTATGTTATTTTCTATTGCAGTATCCCGAGGGTGGACTCTTCGTCAACTCGATGTCCACAATGCTTTTCTCAATGGCCACCTGTCTGAAACTGTGTACATGAAACAACCGTCTGGCTACGAGAACCCCACGAATCCTGACTATGTGTGCCATCTGCAGCGCTCACTCGACGGGCTAAAACAGGCACCACGGGCTTGGTTCAAGAGACTTCATGGCTTTTTAATCTCGGCAGGCTTCGCCTCGTCCAAGACAGATATCTCACTGTTTTACTACTCGAGTGGTGAATCTCGAGTGTTCCTATTCGTTTATGTAGACGACATTATTATGATGGGGAATGACACCGCCTTAGTCGAGACTCTACTTCAACGAATTTCGACTGCTTTCAAAATCCGTGATCTTGGAACTCCGGTGTTCTTCCTTGGCATTGAGACTCTTCACACCAGTGACGGCCTTCTCTTGACACAACGTAAGTACATGCGTGATCTCCTCCAACGAGCCGGAATGACAGACTGTAAACCTCTTGCTACTCCAGCCGCTGTTACGAAAGCAGTTACACCTTCTGTTCAACTGTTTGACAATCCAACATAATACCAGCGGTTAGTCGGGGCGCTTCAATATCTCACCATCACGTGCCCGAATTTGTCTTATGCGGTTAATCGCCTCTGTCAGTTCATGCACTCCCCAACTATTGATCATTGGGGGTTGCTAAAGCGAGTTTTACGGTACATCAAGGGCACTCTTGATTTTGGATTACGTCTTTCTACCTCGACTACCACCACCATTCACGCCTACTCTGACTCTGATTGGGCTGGTTGTCCTGTTGATAGGAAGAGCACCAGTGGGTATGCCGTCTTCTTGGATTCTAATCTTGTCTCCTAGCTCTCCCGGAAACAGCGCATGGTTGCCCGCTCTTCGACTGAAGCAGAGTACAAGGCCTTAGCTGACGTCTCCGCAGAGGTTACTTGGATTGTTTCACTTCTCCGTGAGATTGGCTTGTACAGTGGGAGTCCGGCTACCTTGTGGTGTGACAATTTGGGTGCAATGTATTTGTGCGCCAATCCAGTGTTTCATGAGAGGACCAAGCATGTTGAAATTGATTATCATTTTGTTCGGGATCAGGTTGCAGCAGGTGACTTTGTCGTCAATTTTGCGTCCACTAAGGATCAACTCGCGGACGTGTTCACCAAACCTCTACCGGCATCGCGGTTTACAATGCTTCGTGGCAAGCTCAACGTTGTTTCTCACCCACCTTGAGCTTGAGGGGGTGCATGTGTTAGTATTATTATTATTCATATTATTATTATATTCTATAGTTTGTATTAGTTGATTAAGTCTCCTATGACTTACCTTTTAGATAGGAGTTATTTCAGCTTCTCACTTCCTTTTGTATTGTAAACTCTTATCTGTTTGAATTGAATTGAAATCGTTACTCTCATTAGTCTTAACAATGATGTATAACTCGTAGTTTACTTTTCTCACAAACTCTTAAAAATGAGGCAATTGAAGCCTACTTTGATTATAATTCAACTCATAGATTAATATTATATATATGAATATTTTTCACATAGAACTATTAAACGTTGATTATAATTTTATAACGTACTGTCAGAACGCTCTTATTCTATTAGGGTTTCTCTAATTCCCTCTCGTCTCTGGCATTCTACATGGTCGCCGTCTCCGTGAAACAAGCAGATCACGGAGGCGACGTCCGATCGTCTTCCCCAGCTGCCATCTCCAGACAGTGTCCGCCTTCATCGTTTTTCATCCATTTCCCACTACGTACCGGTCGTTAGTTACTCACTTATTTTCGCAATGTTCTTTTCTTTTGCTTTGTTTTACTGGTTTAATTTTGTTTGCAGTTTCTGTGTTTTTCCCCTCATTGTTTTGACGAGTTTCTTCAATTCCTCTCGTTTACTTGGCGAGTTCTTTTTCATAAAGCGTGAAACGATAAAACTGGTTATGGCGTATGTGAATCTCATCCTGAGTGACAAACATGACAATGAAAAAGAGACTCCTCTGAACTATGATATACAGTTCAACCCGATGGATATATTGTCAATGGATAGAAGAATGAAAATAGATACTCAGGTGGTGTACAAGATTATTCAACTAGTGTTAGTTGTCTGAAGGTAAGGAATGTTTGACCATTCTATGGATTGTTATTGTAAACATTTCAGCCTATTATTAATGAATTAGCTTCTTTATTTTCAAAAAAAAATAATAATAATAAACGTCGATTATAATTCAACTGATAGATCAATATTCAGCAATAGGACATAGAATAAGATAAACTGCACCAAAATTCTCCATTCCCTAAATACATTCTTTACACAAAGGGATGGCGATGTCCTAACAAAAAAAAAAAAAAAAAAAAAAAAAGCTATCTAGCTAGGCATCGACGAGATCAGATCTCATATGTATTAATTTATTAGTCATTATCATATCGACAATTGGAAAGTGATTCTTAATTAACTTATTGTAAATTATAAATTTGAATTACCCTGGAAGAAGTTTGGAGAAAGTCAAGTAATTAACACTTAGCTTTAGTAGGCAACCTTTGAAGCAGACAACAACATTATCTACTACTGCTTCTTTCAATTCGCCTTTATTAGACTTAGCCTTCATGTATTCATCAAGCTGCCGCCCGGCCGGCCTGTTCGAGAACTCTTCTAACCCGGAGATTACTTAATTATAGGCCTCATGTATGTATATTAACCACACCAAATTATCTTTTTTTTTGGTCCAGCCTAATTTAGACTAAATTATTGTTTAATTCGAACCAATCAAATTTTAATTAATCCAGCTTATTCTAGACTAAATAGTAACTAAGCAAATTAAAAGAAAATAGTCCACTTATTCGACAACACCCAAAGAGATGGAGAGAGAAAGTTGAACGTGAAAGAGAGGTCCAAAAAATAATTCTCCTTGAATTTTGGTATTATAAGTTCTAATGTTGTTATTTGTGACTTCGATACTCCGTATATTATTTAACTGTTATCCTATTATTTTGCTGTCAATTTTTACTTTACCCCACTAAAAAAAATGTCATATTATAAGCTAGTCAATTTAGAATAGATCCGTCTGATTATACATATATTACTTTAAATTCATTTTGTCTACTGCTTTAAGAACAGTTCAGATCCAACTTATGGTTCAAGGCAGTTTAGATATACGCAATATATTATTATATTAAACTTTTTGAACTGTCTTAACTAATGAATTAATGTAGCATTGACTTTGACATTTTTTAGAGAACAATAATTACTGTAATATAATTATTCGTTATAATAATATATGTTATCGTGTATCTTACTGTAATTAAATTATTTCGATTTAAAAAATAACTCATATAGTATGAATAGGGAACTGAATTCTATTATTCTACGGTCATCTAAAATTAAAATAGCTTTATTTCTTCTTCTTCTTCTTCTTCTTCTTTTTTTTTTTTTTTTTTTTTTTTGTCAAAAACCATTATTATGTTAGCTTGTTATTTGGGTTTTGCATGTTACTCCGTACCGTATGATGCGTAAGATCGCGGTTGGTCAGCCATTTAACAAATTCACCAAATTTTCTTTTTTAATAAAGACTCTTTTTTTTGGGGGGAGATAAAGACTACTTAGCGTTACATTATCGCCGTGACCCCGCTACATGTACAATTGTTTCAATTTGCAGTAACATTGAAAGTCAAATCTTGAATGGAATAAGATTTATATTATTTAAATTGAATTAAAAGTACATTAATTTGACAATAAATATGTTTATACAAGTTTCAAATTTTGGTTACCTCTCAAACTTTACTTTATAATTGATGATATAAATAATCCTCCAAAGTCCCAACAACTTATCGAGAACACGATGTTTATAGAGTGTTTCGATCTCTCCCTGAAATGGTGCATTAAATGAGCCTTTTATAGAAGATTTAGAAGACACATGTCAATGCCTCGACAATCCGGCATGACCTACATGCGTCCATCTACGTATCCAAAAATCCTAGCAGTGAAACCACATTGTGACCTGACCATTTTATTGGATAGTGACATGACTTTTGAACGACTATCCTAAGGTTAGTCAGATATGATAATTAAGACTTACATACGGACAACTTTTCTAAAGCCTTTTTATTACATATAATCCCTTTACAATAAAGTTGGCCATCATCCAAGTTTTGTGTTTTTATAAAGAAACGTTAAAAACAGGAAAGTAATAAAAATACAAAATAAATAAAATAATTAAAGAAGGGTAGAAACAATGAATGTAGGTTAATTGAAACAGCTGCCAAGAAAATAGTGAGATCTACACAAACACATGCCCATACGCTGTTGTCGGCAACCAGCCTCTGCATGTGGTTTCATTGATGCATTCAGTGAATTAAAAGAATTCAAAAAATAAAAATAAAAACAAAAACATGACATTAAAATCCAATTTTGAAACACGTAAAATACTACGGAGTATATATTATATAATATATAATTCCAAAGTCAAAAGGCGCCTTAGCCAATTGCACGCAATGCAACGCCGACGTGACTATCCCCAACCATTAATTCATTTCATAAAGTCAGCTTCTGATCTGCCTGTACAACCATTTATATATTTATTTTCCTTTTTTTTTATTAAAGTCAAAACTCAAAAGCCATTGGTAATTACTCTTAACTGTCTCATTTAAAGTAAAATTTATATACGTCATTATGGTTATGGCAGAGCTTATTTAGGAGCTTATAGTTTATTTTAAGCTATTAATAAGTTATTATAAACTTTGTTTGGTAACGTTCTCAAAATAAGCTCCTAGCTAAAAATAAGAGCTTATTTTGGAACACTACCGCTAAAATAAGCTCATAGCTTCCTAACTTTTTTTCTATTTTTGTCTTTATTATTTTTTAAAAATGATATAATTTACCCTTCCCAATTAAAACATTTTTCTCTTCTCATTGCAACTTTCATCGCAAATATTATTATTATTATTATTATTATTATTATTATTATTATTATTATTATTATTATTATTATTATTATTGCAACAATATTGCTACTTCATTATGAGATGCTAGATCATGATTATACTAATAATTTTATTTCAAAATGTTAATTTTTTTTAAAGACAAATGTTAAATTTTAATATGTAAACAAACTAATTTAAATTTTATGAAGATGTCCTTTTTAGTCTTTTTACATTTATCAGCTTATCAAAAAGTTAATTTTACCAAACACTTACAATCATAACAGCTAGCTTAACAGCTCTTTAGTTTTCAGCTCCGAGCCTATAGCTTTTAAGCTTTCAGCTAGGTTTGCCAAACAGAGCCTATATAAAAAAAAAAAAAAAAAACAAAACAAAAACTATGTGGTGTGATCTTTCTTTATAAGGTATTGTATTTTATTATAATTGATTTAATAATTATAAATATACCTGGAGCGTATCAACTCAGATGGAATCGAGTTCGAAGTACTAGAGGGAATCCAAAACTAAACCCGACCGACTCGGGCATGGCCAAGTCCCGCGCTTGGCCATGAAGTCGGCCTCTGGGCTTGGCCTCCGAGGGCGGTCACCTCGGCCATGGGGTCGACCAAGGCAGACCTCCTCGGGCGAGGTCAGCCACTTGGCCGACCTCGGCACTATGTCGAGCTCCATGCTTGGCCAAGTGCAGGGTCTTCATGTTGGTGCGAGTCTTGCGGCGTCAATTGTGGTCCAAGGTGGTTGTGACTCCCCACCTTTTTCTCCGGGATAGTTAGGGCCGATTTAAAGTATAAAAGCACTCCATTGTGTCCTATATATTGAGGGATGATTCAACCATTATCTATAGTTTTGTCTTGTTATTACACAATTCCTACATTTGTAATAGCATAACACTTGATTAATACAATATTATCCCGTGACTTATTAATATTTGTCCTTTATTACCGTTACATTTATCTTTTATATTTGTTCAATCCTATGCTTGTCATATTCTATATCGGTTAATTCATTCAAACCATCAAGTTAAATAACTGAAATCGTAATTCGTAATTTTAATAAATAAATTATATTTTCAATTTCTATAATATTTCAAGAATCTTGGAAAATGTCCAGTTATGAACTTTTCTTTTAATTTTATTCTCTCTCTTCTAAATTTCCGTGTGTTGACTTGCTCTTTGGTTTCCAATGATGATTAGTTGCATGTACCCTCTTTACTGCTGACACGGACAAATCACAAATATATATATATATAGACCGCCCATTGTTCAACTCCCTCACATACAAACATCATCGGTTCTGAGCGTTACATTCATCGCAGACAACACAACATCCTTCAAGCTCGTCGGATCTGAAAGATTGGTTGTTAATTAGAATCAGCAGCAGATAGATCAGAAGAAATGGATGAGGTTGAGATTGAGATTCCTTCCTACTTTGTTTGTCCGATCTCCATGCAACTCATGAAAGATCCAGTGACGGTGGCCACCGGAATAACCTACGACAGGGAAAGCATCGAAAAATGGGTGTTTTCATGCCGGAACACTACGTGTCCGGTGACGAAACAACAGCTCGTCACCACTGATCTCACCCCCAACCACACTCTCCGCCGTCTCATCCAAGCATGGTGCACTCTCAACGCATCCCACGGCGTGGAGAGGATCCCAACTCCCAAGCCGGCGGTCGATAAAGCCCAGATTTTGAAGCTCATCGACGAGGCCCGGAGGCGGCCGGAGTCCCAGCTTAAATGCCTGAGAAGGATAAGATCCGTTGCGTTTTCCGGCGAGTATAACAAGAAGGAGATTCAGTCAACGCCCGGGGCCGTTGACTTTCTTGTTACGGTTATAAAGAGGAAGGAGGTTGCCACGGGGGAGGACTCGGAGTTCACCAAGGCCAGCGATGAAGCGTTGACTATTCTCCACCATCTGGGGCCGTCCGATTCGGATCTCAAGAGATTCATCGGCGACGAGGGACAGTTCTTGGATTCCTTAATCCATGCCTTGAAACACGGGAATTATCAATCTCGAGCCGCCGCGATAATGGTAATGAAATCCGCTGTCGACGTGGCGGATCCGGCTCAGCTCATCGCCGCCACGCCCGAAATATTCGCCGAGACGGTCCAAATCCTAAAGGATAACGTCTCCCAGCAAGCCACAAAAGCCGCATTGAAGCTCCTGATGGAGCTTTGTCCGTGGGGGAGAAACCGGATCAAAGCCGCCGGCGCCGGCGCCGTCCAAACCCTCGTCGACCTCCTTCTCGACACGACGGAGAGACGGCTCTGCGAGCTGGCGCTGACGGTCCTGGATCAGCTCTGCGACTGCGCCGAGGGACGCGCTGAGCTGCTGGATCACGGAGCCGGCTTAGCCATCGTGTCCAAGAAAATACTTAGGGTTTCGCACGCGGCGAGTGATAGGGCAGTGAGGGTCCTCTCTTCCATTTCCAAGTTTTCTGCAACTTCTAGGGTTCTTCAAGAAATGTTGCAGGTTGGGGTAGTTGCAAAGCTGTGTTTGGTGCTGCAAGTGGACGCCAGTTCAAAGACAAAGGAGAGAGCCAAACAGACCCTTAGATTGCACTCTAGGGTTTGGAGGGATAATTCATCTTGCATTCCTCGTGCTTTGCTCTCTTCTTATCCTTCCTGATGATCCCTATCTCCTATCCGGCGAAATCACAGCTAAGGAAACGAACTTGGCAGAATCAGCGGGGAAACGAACTTGGCAGAATCAACGGGAAAAAGAAGATCTTATTGAGCTCGACTCTAGTCCTTCGACTTTAATTTCATCTCGTCTCCCAAAAACGTTAATTAATTGTGTTCTATTGTTTTGTTTTATGTAGATACTTCACAAAATTAATTGTCATCCAAAATAGGATACATGCATATATATCCTCCATCAAAATTGTAACTTTCTACAAAGAGATGGGCAGATCTACAAATTTTGCTAACATGTATTAGAAGAACCACCCATGACTAATTTTATTATGGGCTGATTATTCATAAACATTTAGAAATTAATTTTTATAAAATTATAAGATGAATCGACTTCTTATGTTCTTCATATATATTACCAAACACCTAATTATGAATTAAAACGTAAATTCACAACCATCAATAATTATAACAATGACATGTTCACGAAATTGTATATTTGTCATATTTTGTAAAAAAAAAAATTTTGAATGCTACTAGCTCTATTACGATGTAATAGACTGAGGCTCAAACTCATAATCTTCTAAATGGAAGTCCAACCCGGGTACCATTGGACCACATAGTCCTAGTGTCATATTTTAAAATTAATTTATGCTTATATGTGTGCATATGCATATATACATACACACATTTATAAATATTATTACAACATAACTTGGGTCTTTACTTGTTAGGCCTCCTATAGTTTTCTTTGAAGTTTAACTACTTCTCCCTGAGAAAAAGAAAATATATGTACAAAGTTGAGTTGACTAATATATAATTTTATTTTATTTTTTTTGGAAAACCAATAGTATATATGATTACTTTTTTTTGAAAGAGTATATATGATTACTTAGTTCCTTAATATAATTATGCTACAATTAGAAAACTCCATATTTAATGAATTGTAGCACTTAGATATATGAGCGTGGCCGGCCTCGACTTCCTAAATGAATTCATAAAGAACGAATTCAATGTACTATACGAATCTCGTTGAGAATAAATTAAATACACTTAAAACTGAGAGTGGACTTCATTATATGGATCGACAATTCGACACCGGACACCTCCAGCCAGATTTTAAGCAGATGGAAATGGCAAACATAGCGTGATTAAATGGATGGTGACAAGATTGAATATGGTGATAAGGCATAGATTGTTTGAGTTGAAAAACGATTGCAAAAAATATAGAATAAATACTATCTTGTTAAAAATTATGAGTGTTAAAAAAAATAAAAGTGTTTTTGTTAGTGGATGAAACAAAAATTCATCCTCTACAATTAGTAGGATAGTAGTTCAATACCTCATATATTGCAAGTGTAAAGTATATTTGTATTGTTATCGAAGGCGTTTAGTTTCTCATTTATCATCCCCGCGTGTGTATAAACAGGTTCAAATGAGAATTAGATTTTTCATAAGATTGAAAGAGTGAACTAATCTTATCCGTTCATCTAAGATGATCGAGATTAAAAATTAAGGAAAAATATGTGGTATTTCTATAATTACGATTATACACTACAAGAAAAATGTACAAAGATAACACTACAAAGACAACGATTTTTTGTAAAAGTGTTATCTTTGACTAAAAGACAACAATTTTGTCTAAAACTGTTGTCTTTTAAGCAACACTTTTGTCAAAGACAACGGTTTTTACCAAACTGTTATCTTTAGTGTGTTGTCTATCTTTAGTGTGTTGTCTATGTGTATTAGGACTCTATCTCCTAGTCACATGAGAATTCTTCTCTTTGTATATCCATTATATTATTCCTCGTCTGACTAGGACTCTGTATATCGCTATAAATAATCCTTTAATGTATATTGTATTATTCAAGTATTCAATAACAATTTATTCTTCCATAATTATTATTCTTCTTAGATTTATTTTTCTTATGCATGGAGTCAATCAAGTATGGACAATTTATAATAAATTATTTCTTTATGATTCTTTAATTTGTCGGCTAGGGTGACAATGTGGAGTTTACTTAATACGCACCATTTTGTCTGAGTATTAATTTAAATTTAAAAAAAAAACAAAAAAAAAAAACAAAAAAAAAAAACAAAGAAGTGGTTCAATTCCTAGAAGTTAGAACTAGTAAATATATACATAAATAAATTCCTACTCCGATCCGCAAATTTATGCACAAATATCCGTCTCGTTGAGCTAGGTCCCCCATTGATTGGTTAGGGCTGGTGCCTGGTGGAACTTTAATACTACCAAAATAGAGGGAGAAAATATATACTCCATAATAATATAATAATAATAATAATAATAATAATTTTTGAGGAAATAATAATAATAATAATAATAATAATAATAACAATAGAATTAAAAATAAAGAGAAGACACAATATTTATTGTGAGTTATTATTGTACGTGTTCTATAATAGGAGTAGGAGTGTCTTTTCTTGACCTTATCAAGTTAGCTAGGACAAGCAAGAAGAAATTCATATATATATATATATTATATATATATATATATATATATATATATATATATATATATATATATATATATATATATATAGTGGGACAGCTTTTGATAAACACCATGTAATATATAAATTTGCTAAATATTGTTTTTCTTTTTAATAGCAAGATTATTGTCCACATTAGGTGATAGTGATAGTAATGGTGTAGGGTTTACTTGCCACAATTATATATGCCGTGAAGCAATTTACATACATTAATGCAATCCTACGTTGTGCAATGAATTTCGTACCAAAAAATCTAAGATATATACTCACACGATGGAAAGAAAAGAACAACAAAACGAAAAAGGACTACATAAATTTAGGTCAGTTCGATCACTACACCAATGTTAGCAATATAGTACCCAATATTAGCAAAAGTCTAGCTTTGACATTTAAGGTTGTTTAAAAAAAAAAGAGTTAATACCCAATATAGTACTCGACTATGGTGTTATTATTCAATTTAGTCCTAAATAACTTTTTTTATGCTCAATTTAGTCCTCAATTTTGATGATTTTACACAGTATAGTCCTTTGTTAAAAATTATATTAATTGACTGCTAGAAATAGGATTGTAATTGTAATTTCTCATTACTGCTGCTTCCAGGGGCCTTTCACAGGGCCCCAAAATTTGGGGGGCCCAAATAGAGAACATATATATATATATATATATATATATATATATATATATATATATATATATATATATATATATATATATACACACACACACACACACAGAGCAGGCAATGCTGCCTGCTGTATAGTATGTGTATATATATAATTTTTTTGGCCGTTATAATACTTCGCCAGCAGTAGCTTAGACAATTCCCTATAGTGGCATCAATAAAGGGGCCCAAATTAGAATGTCGCACAGGACCTCCATTTTCATTGGAACGGCCTTGATTGCTTCTGTGCTACTTCTCTACTGCTTCTCTAAGGGCTGGGCATCCAAATCCAACTAAAAAGACTATTTAAAAAAAACTGTAGGCAAATATTTATTTATTTATTTATTTATGTTTGAAATTGATTTAGAGATGAAGATCTCCATTTTTGTGTGGAGCTTAATAAGGAGAAGAAGAATGAATCATCTCAAATGCGATGAAAGATGAGAAATTACCATAAGGATATTATTTTTAACAGTCAACTAGCAGAATTTGCAACAAAGGACTAAATTGCGCAAAACTATCAAAGTTGAGGACTAAATTGAGTACAAAAAGTCATTTAGGACTAAATTGAGTAAAATCACTATAGTCGAGAACTATATTGGGTATTAACTCTTTAAAAGAAATATGGAGATAATAATTAAGATGATTGATGGATATATTATGCGCGGAGCAAACCGACCCGAGGGAGCGGAACAAGAAGTTGGAGCGGCCCAAGACGGTTCACCTCGGCCCAAGACGTCCCACCTCGGCCTCAGACGTCTCACCTCAGCTTAAGACGTCTCACCTCAGCCCAAGACGTCTCACCTCGGCCCAAGACGATTCACCTTGCCCCAAGACGGTTCACCTCGCCCAAACGTCTCACATCGGCTTCAGACGTCTCACCTCAGTTTAAGGCGTCTCACCTCGGCCTAAGACGTCTCACCTCAGCTTAAGAAGTCTCACCTCGGCTCAAGACGTCTCACTTCGGCCCAAGACGTCTCACCTCGGCCTCAGACGTCTCACCTCAGCTTAAGGCGTCTCACCTCAGCCTAAGACGTCTCACCTCGGCCTAAGACGTCTCACCTCGGCCCAAGACGTCTCACCTCGGTCCAAGCTAAGGCGCCTAGGTCCATAGCGAGTTCGACCTAGTACGCCTCGGCACAAGGCACCTCGGCCTAGGATGCCTCAGCTACAATGGGCTCGGCCGTGGTGAGCTCGACCACGTTGCGCATGGAGGTCGGGTTGGGACATTTACTCTCTTTGGTTGTCGAATTCTCCAACGAAGAGAGTGGGGGACTCATGATGGATATATTATGCTCGGAGCAAACCAATCCGAGGCGACGGACCCGGAGCACCTCAGCCCAAGGCGTCATGGACCCGGGACACCTCGGCCCAAGGCACCATGACCCAAGCCACCTCGGCCAAGGCACTTGGGTCGTGGTCACCTCGGCCCAAGGAGCTCGGCCATAGGCCGGCTCAGGTCGTAATGAGCTCGGCTAGGCCGAGCGCCCCCTAACTAGCTCGGCCAGGCTGAGCTCGGGGTTTTAGGGGGGCGCAGGCGCGCTTTGGACCCGGTCCGGAGCTAAGACGCGGTCAAAGTGCCAGGTCCAACCACCCCCGGATTTAGGGGGAGCGGTTGGGGGTTTGTTGCATATAAAAACCCCTCACCTTGTCCTAACAAGGGACACCTGATCATTTTCTTACACACTTGGTCTTAAACTATCGCTGTAATAGCCCGACTATTATTATAATACAATCTACGATCTTCACGGCCTTACGACATCGTATTGCTTACCTATTTAATTGTTATTTGCATTTTTATCCGGATTTAGTGATTCGGGTCCACCTCGAGTAATTAAATTCATCAACGATCATGATGAATGTTGTCATTTAATTTGCATAGAAACTAACTTCTATGTGAATGTGTCTAATGTTCATTACAAGAAAACACAAATATATAGTGAATTTACGAACAGATTTTAATCATAACTAAATTAGCGACAAAATATAGTGAGAGAATTCTGTATAAAAAGTTGTGATAATATTTTAATGTTACGTTCTTACAATGTCAATTTAAATAAGTAAAAGAATGATTTGGGGATTTTCTTTTATCCACATGGTGTGTTTTCTATGGACATATGGCGTGCAATGTAAAATATGTATGTTAGAGTTCAAACAATATATAATTAATGAA